CGCTGGCTGGGGAAAACGAGAGCTGTCCCGAAGGCTGGTGGGATGAGGTCTCGAGAGCGAATTTTTTGGCCTACTTCCGCTGCCTTCTCGAAATCCTCAGCTACATTCAGGTTGGTGCCTGCGCTGTTAGCGCCCCTTTTTTTATTAAACAAGGTGACAAGGATTCCTTATAGGTTACACCACAGTGATAAAAAAACTCACATTTTTGTCATACGAGACCATTGGTAAAAGGGATTAACTGGGTAGGTTGCGTCAAAGTAAAGAGATTATAAAATTAAGAAATAATAGTAATAATTATTTAAATAGTGTAATGTTTGGCACATTGTAGCTAAAATGAGAAAAACAACCAGTAAGAAATAAAAACGGGGCAAACATGTGGAACTGTACAAAGAACCGCCAAGTTGCGACATTTTAGTAAAACGATGGAAGGTAGGCATTTTAAATTTTTAACATACAATAACATTTAATGCATTTGAACACGTTTTATAGTTTGATAAGACGAGCGGCAGGCAGATGTCGCATACACGAATTCAGAGAAGATAAAACTTAAATGAAAGTGAATTAATAAGAAACAACAATAAAATGAAGACTCAACTCAACTATAACTGAACTGAACAATAGATGAACTAAACGAAGCTAACATAATCTTAAGTGCACAGTGTTACTTATAAGGAATCCTTACAAAAAACTAAGATATCCACACTATCAACTTTCATTTCACGACTGACCTATTCCAGTAAAACTAGTCGACAGGACAGGGAAAACTGAAAGAGATATTACCGTCTAACTTAGCGTATCCTGCCAGCTGTATATAATTCCCGAGCAGAAAGTATCCGGGGTTCCATTTCGAACCACTTAATAGTCAGCCGGTTAAGCTGAACAGTCGTCTCATAAGAAATATGTCTAGAGTTCTGCTAATGGCGACCACGAATATGCATTTGCATAGCTTGGCGATCGTGTGACTCGATGATAAGAGGAGTAATTCAAGTATTCGATGATTAAGGCATGAAGGTTCGATCACTCGTCCCTTTCGAGCCTGGTCACTTCAGTTTCAGAGTTCAGTGCCTAGTATTTTTTGCTCTTTATTTGCTTGTGAGATGTTTAGATGTTGCATTTCCGTCCCGCAATTAAATAAGTCCATTTAATGACACTGCATTTTAATGACACTGCATTTTAATGACACTGCATTTTAATGCTTTTTGTCCTGAAGGATATGAATTCCATGCAACGAAACCTCGAGGGAAAGTCAGAAGTATTGCGGAAGTTAATTCCTGTTGCAACCCAGCTCGAACCTCTTAATGCTCTCAGCTCTCTATCTGCCCAAATTGCTAGCACCGATCGAATACTCCTGCTCTCTGCCATCAAGGAAACCCGAAAGGTGAGCGCGTTTCACAAATTCTCATCTTCCATCATCCGAGATTATAAATTCAGCACGTAATCTTGAAAGTAGTTCACTCATGGTTATGGTTTATTTTATGTGTTACCTGTTCCAGGCCTTTGAACAACGTGTCGGCCTTATAGATCGTTGTTTCCGAGTGAAACCTTTCATACACAAGCATGGAAATAGCCTTGTCAGAATTGAGACCAAAGAGCCCGCCAGCCTTTCCTTCCAGGCTCTGGGAGCCACGTCGGAAGTCTACGAGTACGACGTGGCAATAATGAGAGGGAGCATCGTCCAGCCTCTGCCTCGACTATTAGCGACCCTTTACGGACATGGCATTGAAATGGGTCTTCATCCAACCCTCCTTGGTCTGGCTGATGAGGTCTGTTGCCGTTTAGACTCACCCTGTGGTGCATTTGTCGCCTCATAAATACCATCAATTTTTAATTTTTTAGGGTTTCGCTAATCTAGTAATCGAAAGGCCACTGCGAGTAGTCGCTTTTTTGGCTCAGTGTTCAGCCAACCTGTGGTTGCAAACTAATGGCTTGATTGAAAAAATCGTGAGTGAGCACTCGCTGCCTTTTTATACTCTTTTCATGTTCATTTCTTCAGCCTTATGGTCCTCATTTTTTCGATTATGGGAGCAGATGATGGGAATCTCTACAGCAGAAACAGTGGGATGTGACTATCAACTTCTTCAGCAAGCGGCTGCGGTTTTGCACCCGGATGAGCTGATTGTTCGCATGGTGCACAAACTAAATCTAAAGGACTATCTAAGGTATACTGCCAGGCTGACTCTTCTCACAAGTTAAAACGATATAGTACTTGTTTTTTTTGGTGAGGGAAAGGTCTTGCATGTTTTCTTTTCCCTGTCACCACGATAATGCCGTTTAATGTGTAGAGTGAACTGCTGCAGCTGGTTTCCTGCAATCGTTCACCGATCGTTCCCTTATTTATTGGTGAACTATGTTTCCCGTGTCGCAATACCGCCAGGACATAGGATGTTTTGTACGTAATTGAGTTGCCTTTTCGCGTGGTGTTAAGGCTATTAGAGTAAACCTTTGTCATTACAATGTTCAGTCTGGTTCCTTACGAGAAGACAAGTTGAGGGAGGCCAGAGGGGTAGAAGCAGTTTTACTCTGTACAGAAGAAAATGGCGAGTAGGTAGGATGAATTTGACTTTCGGACGAGTGCAGTCCGCCGGCTAAGGCACCGACATCCGGAGTCACTCATCGCGGCAATTGTCATAACCGCCCAACACGGTCTCTGTGTGAGTCAGCCTCAGGGTGATGATTGGCCCAACTAGTCTGGAGTGCGCATGTGCGACCCAGTCACGTGAGGCCAAATTTGAGCGTTCCACGTGGACTTGAGCCATTGCACGGGATCGATCGATGACGTGCTGGCAACAACAGAGGCCGAACGACCGAGATTGCCATCAGGTGACCTTGTGTTCGGTGTGGCGCGTTAGGAGTGGCTGCAGAGCCACAACAGCCTAACCAACAGCTGGTACGGTTGAGTGGTTCGTGAGGACTTATAAGCCAGAATCGAGGACCTGTCTACTTAATAGGACGCCTTTTGTTGATGATCGTCTTATATGGATACACACGCTAGCCGGCACGTAGGCAAAATACAAATATCTCACTGCACGCGGTGTGGCTGTGACCGTACTATGTTTTAGTAAAGGGAGTACGGCAGATTTGAACAATTCATTTGACACAATTGTGAAACATCCGGCGGCCCTGGTGGGACTCAAACCCACAGCTGCAAGAAAAAGGCTTTAGTACAGCCAGTGCTCTAGCCAGTTGATTTATGAGGCCCCCACGGGAGCCGTGATTTTAATCCCACATGGGATACATTACGCGTCTACCCTACTGTAACGTATTGAGCCCACTTATTCGAATGCAGTAAGTGGACTACCCAAGCAGGATGTCCCAAACAATCAATCTATAACCCACCAGATGAGTACCAGGTACACTTTATATGTAAAGGGCGTTTGGTAGATTGTTATAACACATTTGGCTTAATTTCTTGGGGCTCTTAGCTCAGCTGGCTATGCTAGCGTCCCCCTTAGCTGGCATGGGTTCCAATCCCACTGAGGCTGCTGCGATTTTTAAAACTGGACTAAATGAATAGTAGGTTTTGTTACAGTATGTACAACATGACTTGAGCGTAAACGTTCCCAATACAAGCGAACATGCCAGTCCCAGGAAGTAATTAAGAAGAAGACGACCCGATCGCTGAT